TTGAACATTTAAGGATAGAAGGACTCCACATTCAATGTTACTATGCATGTTATGTGATTAGTCTTTTTTCTGTTAGCAACTCCCAAACCATTGGTAGGAGAAAAATAGAAAGTTGTCAATTTAAAGCAAGGAAAGGGATATCAAGTTTAAAAAAAAAAAATAAAAAAAAATAGGGGGCTTCAACTCCTAGAAGATTTGACAATTTCAAGAAGCAAAACTAACGTAAGTATGAACCACAACTTAAAAGAATTTGACACAATTCATTTAATATGAATTAATTTCTTGAAGTTATTAGAAATTATAATATAGAAGGAGAGGTTAACAATTAAAAACACTCAAAAGGTTCACAATCAAAAGCACTTCTATCAGATCAATAAAAATGTTACTCTTGTACGATTGGATTGAGGCCCCGTTTGGGATTGCTTTTTTTCACTAAAAACCTACTTCACTTTAAAGTTAAGTAGTTTAAGGTGTTTGGTAAAAATAAAATATCCCGATTATTTTAAAAGCAGTGACCTTTTGACAGCAGCTTTTAAAAGCAGGCTATGGGTTGCTTTTCAAAGCTGCTTTCAAAAGAAGCAGAGATGAATCTTTAATGAATTTTTTTAATTACCAAAATACTATCATTCATTTTAAAAAATAACACGACCTCTACTTCCACGAATTTTTTCACCACTTACACCACCACATTCACTACCTCCACAACCACCACCACCGCCACCGCCACCACAACCACTACCACCACCTCCTCCACCACCACCAACTCCAGCTTCACCTCCACCACAACCACCACCACCACCACTACCACCACCACCAACTTCACCTTCACCTCCACCACAACCACCACCACCACCACTACCACTACCACCACCACCAACTCCACCTTCACTTCCACCTCCACCACAACCACCACCACCATCACCACCACAACCACCACCACCAACTCCACCTTCACCTCCACCACTGCCACCACCACCACCACTACCACCACAACCATCACCTCCTCTAAAACCTCCACAACCAACACCACCATTACCACCATGTTGCCATCTCCACCACCATGCTGTCACTACCACCACCTCCACAAGCGCCATCCCTACCACCACCACTACCACAACCACCAACTCCACCTTCATCACCACCACCACCTCCACTCCATCACTACCACTACTACCACATGATTAGTACATAACACTTTTAACATCATGTCTATTTGAGTCATTATTCATAGTTACAACAATTTTATATTAAAACTTACCAAACGGTTTTGACACTGCTTTTTGTACTAACAGCACTTTAAAAACATTGTTTACCAAACATGGAGCTGCTTTACTTTACAACTAATTATTTTCAAAGCACAGCAGAAAGCAACTTTTTTTAAAAGTGACAGCAATCCCAAACTAGGCCTGAATCCATCGACACACACCCTAAACCCCATGTGGGTTAAAATTAGGAAACAAAATTTAGTCCCTTGTTGGGCCAGAAAAGGAATTTCAGCTTTTATTTTGGACAGAGTGCAGGCCCAAGCCCAGATAAGAAAACCCATTATCCTTTTTTTCTGTGGTTCGAAAGTCTGGACTAAGCGACAAGTCGTTTTAAGTTTCCGAAGAAAGGAGGGCTTCGGCGTGACCGTCAACCAGCCAAAACAGACAACTCACCCGAGACATACGCTGTCTGACACCGCGCACATTAATCATGGACAACAAATACCCTGTTTCACACTGTTCCTTCTTCCCCGAGCACACTACCAACCCAACCAATCCCAGACCTCCACGTCACCACTTTGGATCCAACCCATCCATCCCCACAAGCGTGTCACGCTCTGGTTGGTCAGCTCACAGGCAAGGCAATGGGGGTGACCACATTTAGACTCTAACATGATTGCAAGCAGCAGCAAAAGGAAAAGTCCTCGTCTTTTGGGGAGCTCAATAAATTTGAGGCCTTTTTGGGGCTTTAATAGCAGAAGTAGCGATCTGGGATTGTTTTTTACTTTACTGGGTTGGGTGGAAAATGGCGAGTGGAGGAGGATATGGAGACTCGAACCAGAAGATAGACTATGTGTTCAAGGTGGTGCTGATAGGGGACTCTGCAGTGGGCAAGTCTCAGATTCTGGCCAGGTTTGCTAGAAACGAGTTTAGTTTGGATTCGAAGGCCACCATCGGCGTTGAGTTTCAGACCAGGACCCTTATCATCGAGCACAAGAGTGTTAAAGCTCAGATCTGGGACACTGCTGGCCAAGAACGGTCTCTCTATCTCTCTCTCTCTCTCTCTCTCTCTCTCTCTCTCTCTGTGTTCTCTTTCTGTTTTCTGTAGCTTATAGCCCTTTTCTTCAATCTGCTACATGGGTTTTAGGATTTTGAAAGTTTGCAGCAGCTCTACTCTGCTTGATGGGTTTTTCAGTTCTAGTAGAACTTTTTAGGTGTTGCTTTGTGTAATTTTTTTTTTCTGGGTTAATTTTGTTTTGAAGTATAAGGTGGATTACATTCTGTGATGCTGATATTGGTTTAAGTGGATTGCTAATAAAATGTTTCATCTGTATGCTAGAATTGAACTGATTGAGACTATTAAGCTGGGGAAAAAGGGAAGGAAAAGTAGGAGTAAGATTAGTAGTTTGTGATGTTGTATTACATTTTCTTATTAGCTAAGAATATAGATCCATGATTTTTTATCTCATGCACTCCACTCAAATGATTAGATACTTTAAATGCTTTTTAAATGTATAGAATGAAATTAGATACCCTTTCTTTATGTGATCCATGCATTGCTTAGTTGTAAATACCGGCCACTAGCAATATGCTTTTCAAAGATATGAATTTGTGTTGTATCCATATCCTACTTTTGGTGCCATTTTGGCCGCCTTGCAATCTTGGATGTTGTCATGGATGATACAGCGCGGTAAGAATTGTTACCATTTTTAAAATGATGTGCCAGATTTTGAGTTGATCTATTTCGGGGTGGGAATGGATGATTACATGGGTGAGATTGTTGTCTTTTATAGGATGAACGGTTTTGGATAAATTTAGTGTTATCTTTGTATAGGATCAGATGATATGTGCTTCTCCGTCTTATGCTATCTTTATGAGCTATTATCGCATAAGTTAGATAGTTGGAGTGTTGGATTCTACGACTTCTTTCATCACTGGATGAACTATGAAGCCAATCAAAGGAGCATTCATGACCCAAGTCGGGCGATATGTTCACACAATCATATGAGGCTCGGCTTTTGCTTCCTTTTGCATAAACAAAGATTTCAATGTAACTAAACAAAGTACATCATTTGGAAAGAAATTATTATTGGTTGGAATGTAAATTAGGTGGGGGTTAGAAGCCTTCACTCTTTGCTGTCACTTATTTACTTTCACGCTATGGAATAATCTTCCCACCTGACTCCTTTTAACTCACAAATGGTGTATTGGCAACTGATTATTCTACTTCTCTTCTGGTGTTATGAGCAGATATAGAGCAGTTACAAGTGCATACTACAGGGGCGCTGTTGGGGCAATGCTTGTCTATGATATAACCAAACGCCAGAGCTTTGATCACATACCCCGTTGGTTGGAAGAGCTGCGTAGCCACGCCGACAAGAACATTGTCATCATTCTGATAGGCAACAAAAGTGATCTTGAGAACCAGCGTGCAATCCCCACTGAAGATGCCAAAGAGTTTGCTCAAAAGGAAGGACTTTTTTTCTTGGAGACCTCAGCACTGGAATCAACAAACGTGGAGTCTGCTTTCTTGACTGTGTTGACAGAGATATTCAACATTGTTAACAAGAAGAGCCTGGCCGCCAGCGAAAATCAAGCTAATGGCAACCCTGCAACTCTGTCTGGTAAGAAGATCGTCATCCCAGGCCCTGCACAAGAAATCCCAGCTAAGAGCAAGGTGTGCTGTACATCGTGATTTCATTGGACCATTGATTTCTGAACACGGATGCTTTCTTCTACATTCTTAATACTAGCAAATTTTGAGGGTTGTGATATATTTCCTTTGTATATTTTTTTACATTGCTTTAGTTTAGTTTGTATGAGCTGATTAATTGCTTGTTTGAAATGAAGCTGATTTGGGTTTGCCTCTTTATGATCTGTTCTTTTAAGTATGAATGGTTTTTACTCAAACCCTACTCATCACTGTGTAAGATGCGTCTATCCTTTGGTATGAATGGTTTTTACTCAAACCCTACTCATCACTGTGTAAGATGCGTCTATCCTTTGATGTCATCAAGAAGACACCAAATAGAAAGGAGAAACTCTAACCTGAAGCAGAAAAGTCTCAAGAACAATCTTCTTTCCTCTGCGGATTCTTACACAAGGATGATTGGATGGCTACGGTTTAATTTATTAAAACTAGTCCTTTTGACACATGCTTTGCGCCTGTCAATTAGCTCTCTCGTGTAGTCTCCACAGGGCCCTACTGCAATACCATTATATAATTTCTTCACGTGGGTGTGATTTGTTTAATATTATCCTCATTTACTGAATGGTTTCATTTCTTAATATTTTCATTAATTAAAAACATTTTTGGAGTCATGAATGTCCAAAACAAGAAAAATGAAAAATAAATAAAGAAAAATTTATTTGAATGTTTTGAGTGACTTGAATATATATATATATATATATATATTTTTTAGGAGCAGGGTTTAGTGTTTTCTTTTGGAAAGGATAACATATGAAAATATACGTAAGTGATAATTACATATAAAATGCTAGTGATTGTTAAGAGGAAGACACTAGCGTCAATCGCGTATGGACACGTAAAATAATCCCAACCCTCTCAACCTTGATGATTGTGGGTATCATACATCAGTGGGCCTCTCAGCGATATCTGAGGTTGCATCGGCAGCCGGGACTAACACTAACACTTGGGAGCAATCCATTCACAAGGAAAAACAGTTCTTGTAGCAATTTCTGGGCAGCATGAGTACATGCCAAACGCAAATATCATTGGTTACACCATACGAACATGATTCCAACCAGCAATAATGATTAAGAACACAAATGGAGATGATTAATATACTAGATCAAAATTGCTCTGTTCTCAAGATTATGCAACAACTTGATGAGGCAAAATACAAAGATGTCTTCCATGCTAAAATAAGAAAATCCAATTTCGTAGAAATATTAAAGATAAAATGAAGTCATGGCATATCAATTACAACCCCTGTATTAAATTATGAAATTAGAGTACAACAATGGAAATCTGGAAGCCCAGAAGTTGTCGCTTAACCCTCAGTTTCCAGTATGATACTTTCCTCGTCACCATTCTTTTCCATATCCTTTATGTCCTGTTCCTCATCCTCCTTGGCATTAGAGGCTTTGTCTTTCTTCTCCGCAGATCCCTTCTCGGTTTCCATGCGCATCAAAAGCCTTTCTAGCAGTTCTTGGCAGTCAATTGCAGTGACCATCACAGACAAACTGGACTTACCTTTCCAGCATCCAATGGCTATTGTTGAATCATCTACTTCAATGGAATCCGACGAGGCTTTGCCATCTGCGGATGTAAAATTTACTTAGGTTAAAAATTATACACATGAATATGTACTAGTTGTCCTTGACCACATGCTGCTATGTACCTTTCCTCAAAACTATTACACAGCATCCTGACATTAAGCCTGATGCTTTCTGGCCAAGCTCAGCATCAACAAAATCTGCAAACTTGATACTTTTATATTGAAGAAGATGCTTAAAGTCCACCGGGGATGCATATACAATCTGTTTGGTGATGTATGGAAGAATAAGTGGCAATCCTTCTGATGATATCCGAAATGAACAAGGAGCCAAATTTCCTTCTCTTGCAGTTTGTCGTTCCTGTTGAGAACAAGAATAAATTAGGGAGAAATTGCTTCCGAATATTGGTAACACCAGATTGTCTAATATTTTGTTCAACAATCAAGGGCTGTACCAGAATCTTTAGCTTAGAGCACGAGGAACTTAGGATGAACTTATAAATATAACTACAAATTCGGAATCCAGCACTCACAATATAATAAGGATCAAAATAACTGCATTTAAATGTATTCTTCCTAATATATCTCATATGCTTTAGTTTCTCATTTAGGACCATCATGGGTGTTCTTCTTTGTATTATATTTCTTCTTTTTTTTGCCTTACAGATATTCCTTTAGTTATTTTGTACTAGCTCTTACACTCCACAAGGGAAGCTAAGCAAGAAGGATAACCCTGTAAACAGTTCTATTGCTCATTGTCTTAATTTTACACACACTAATATATTAGCAAGTGATCAACTTATCTATAGGCATGAAAGTTATGCACAACTTTCTTTGCCCATGTCTATAAATTCGGAGCAACATTATTTTTAAAAGAAATATAAATCAAATTCATCTGTGAAATACTTACAAACATCTTTAGCCCAATGGAGGTTATCTTAAGTTGCTGTCCAACAGAGAAATTCAGTTCAAGAACATCTTTGACTGACTTTGAGACGTAGTAAATTCTCTTCACATGATTAGCATCACTGTTTCTTGTGACAAGGTGGCCATTAAAGGGAAATGAGTCATCAATGCCATAGAATGTCTTTATGCTATTGATGGTGGCTTCATCTTTAAAGAAAACAACAGGGTCAACACCTCTCCACTTGCCTTGAGTCTGCAACTTCCTCTTTCCTCCAGTTTTCTTGGGATCAATTTCCTTATCACTAGGCGCTTGGGCTTCCTCCAATACATTTACATTTTCTTCACATGTAACGGACGGATCAAGTTCCAAAGAATCCCCATCTAGTTCATCCTTTATCAACTCTGCCTCTGAAGCTGCTTCAGAAAATGGCTCATCTGTACCATCTGCCGAACTAGCCACAATCCCATTTGTATCTTCAGTACTCTGATTTTGTAATTGTACCTGCGGCTCATCATTCCAATATATTAAAAATAATAAAAAATTGAATAAACTGGAATTCTCTCATGAAGAAAGCCAAAGCAGTACATGGCAGCACAAGGCTTGCTTCAGATCCTAAACAACGTATAGGCCTCACATATTGCAAATGACACAAAACAGACAAGTTTCCTCTATATGATGGAAACAACGCATTCATACCAAAGAAGAAAATAATTATTATTATATGAGCTAACATTTAGCACAGGTACACTACCTCAAAGCACTTCAATTCTTAAGAAAGATCCAATGACTAGGTAGACACTTGAACTCACCTGGCAAATCCGAACGTTTGTGGAAGACAGCAATGAAGAAAGCTCCACCATTTTGATCATGCGGCACTATCCTCATGCAGCGTTCTAATGGAAAATCAGAAACTTCCTCATCTTGTTCATTGGCTACAGTTGCAGGATCATCGCTTGACTCCAATGCTTCTTCAACATTTCCATTTTCACCATTCTCATGCTTTTCTTCCACTTCCATACTACCATTATGGTCCGTTGGTTCTGTAAACCTTCTTCCAGAAGGAAACATGCTGGGAACAATGACAGATTTGCGATATTTGCTGACATTTTTGTGGGAAACTAACCACCTACCCTTGTCACGTACCTGCATTGCCAAGTGATTGAATATTGATTTATACACTAAACAGAAAACTCTAAAGCTGCAACTGCATGCAACTCAGTAGGTGATGTCTAAACAATAATTGAGACCACTATCTTTATAGATTTAGCTTTCCATGCTATGAGATAGCTATATATTTAAATTTGATGCATTCGAGACAAACAAAAATCAAAATGTAGACCCAACTTATACACAATCAAGCAGGGAAGTATAAAATGGTTTCACCTAACATTGATGTGATGCATAGATTGCAATACAATTTCTTAACCCTTGCAGGTTTTAGCAGGAGAAATAATGGATATCTATATGAGATCTTCTCCTCTCTCTTGTTTTTACAGGTAAAAACAAATTATTTATAGCAAAGATACCTTATTACATTGATGATGGTGTTATATGAAACACACATAGATTAAATTTTTATAGAGCATCAATGTAATAATAGCACTACAAATGATATTGGAATCCATCCTATTTGGTAATTGAGAAAGAAACCCGCACTACACAAACCAGGGGAACAGTTGTATTCAATAATATGTTTTGCACATCAAACTTTTAACAGTAAGCACTAGCACACAAAGGTAAAACTGACAACTAACCTTCCACATTTTAAGACCCGGCCGCCGAACAAGTTGAGGAAGCTCACTAGAGACATCAACAAGCTCAACAGACCCATTACATTTCCGTAAAATCTGCAAAAAAATTGAGACATGGTCAAATAGGGTCAAAAGACCACAAAGCCATGCAAAGTCACAGGACTAGAATCCAAACAAAAGAAATAAGAAGCACAACCGAAAAATGATGTGACTCTGCAACAAGGGAACTTTTTCACTTACAAAACATACATATATTAAAGGCTAAACCATAAATAAGAAATCATATATGTCCACATAGATAAATCAGAAATAATACATGTCCACACTAACCAAATAAACAAATTAGAAAATCAATTAATCATGTGTAGATCAACACATGCTCCAACCCACTGAACAGTTCGCAAAAGGTGAACAATGATGAGTCAAGAGAACCAAAAGAAATAATAATTGTATGGTTAGCATCCAATGGTTATCTATCATGGCCTACAAGCTCTCTTCATATGTAAGGATAACTCATGCTGTTATCGCTTACGAATTACAATCTTTGAACGAACCATGCCCCAAGTTAAATATTTTGTTTCAAGCAATGTAGCTATAACAATACAAACTTTTATAACAACAATAGCCTGATACAGATATTATACAAAACAACATTTATATAATAATAGAGAAGAAATACAAAGCCAAGCTTTCAAGCGATCACAAAATGAAAATAAATTAACACTACACAATTTAATTTATGAAAGACCACGCAACTGCACAGAGAATTACTATTTACAAAAATGTTAATTCCACAGATCCTACATCTTTTGTGTAGAAAAATAACCGAACATATTACCTCAGCAATCACAGCCTCATTCTCAACTGGATTCATGGAGCAGGTAGAGTAAACCATTCTTCCGCCAACTTTAAGCAAAGATAAACCTAGAAAAAACAATACAACCTCAGCTATGTTTGGTATGCACACCAAATGAAAAGCATTGCATTGAAAGTCCTAATTTTACTGATTGACCACACCAATAAATCCAAGTATTTTTACTCAAAATCAGAGAGTGGCAGAGAATGAGCAAGTTCGATCCAAAACGACATTAGTTTAATGCCAGAATTAATCATTACATAGTTTATATATTCAAGAAACATATAAACTAATGTATTTAAGAAATGGTATGGCTGCCATCACCATCTTGTAGGGGAACAGAAATAATATCCAGAAAGAAACACATCTGGGCTATACATGTTTGATGTTTCCAGATTATATCCTCATCGTTTCAAGGAAAGCCTAATATGCACATGGGACAGTATCTATGGGAATAAAACCACGAAGCATAGAGCCATACAATTATATAGAAATTCTGAGCAAAAGTTTTGCATCAAAGATACCTCGCATAGCTATCTGAACTTGTAGAGGATGGACCCCGTTGCCCAATCCAACATGCCTGTAAATAAGCAAAACAAATATCATCAACCTGCCAAAAAAAAAATTGTGATTGAAAATAAAAGTTCTACCATTTCCTCCAGATATCAGGAGCCTTGCGAAGGGTACCATCTCCACTGCAAGGGACATCACATAAAACACGATCAAAGACAAGTTGGCTGATGGGTGGCTCCTTTTCAGCTCCTATTTCAGAAGCAGTAGAACAACTTTTTTTTAAACGGCAGCCAGGAAAGTGCTGAGCTTCATGATTTGTGACTATCAAGTTGGCTGTGCACATTCTTTTTGTTTGATGGATGAGTAGATTACATCTTTGGACGTCAAGATCATTTGCTACGACCTAATCAAGGGGGCAATAAAACTAGGCATCAATGTCTTAGAAGGTAGTAAAATGAGGGAAAATCCATGTCATATCAAGGAAAAAAAAATACTAACTAGGAGAATCATATAAGAGATTGAAATGTGGGATAATAATCTACACTTGACTGAGGAAAACTCATAACAGACTATATACAAATATGATGTAAGAAATGTAAAACAACATATATTTAAAAGAATGCATACCAGTCCATCAGGTAGGGATCCAGGTTTTGTTGATCGGTGTATAATCTCAAGCAATTGGAATGTTTTTGAACCTGGTGCAGCACACACTGAGAAAAATTATAGCAAAAGGTCAGAAAGCACTAGATTTAGTCTTTGAAACAAAAACAACATAATGAATGATCGGTCACAAGCAATCAGAGTACTGTTATAGATTTCCTTATAAAAACTAAACATACAACACAGAACAGAGTGCTCTCAAGAAATAATATCAACAAGAAATTATGCATCTCCCATCCAAACTACGTTGTTGATTCAGCAGTTTACAATGCCAAGAAGAAGCTTACAAACTTGCTATAGAACAGAACCAATTGCATTTTCACTTGACGCTCATTAATTCCAAGTCTCATCATTTGGTCAACAAGGTTTTTAAATTTGCACACTATTAGAAAGGGGAAAAAAGGTATATACAATATAAGTTGCTTACTATCAAGTACAAAATGATCTGGACGTACATCAAGGAATAGAGGAGGTACCTGTATCATAAAAGTAAATAAATAAATTTAAAAAAACTAACTGGATACTTGATCATTAAGATGAGTGAACTAAATGCGCTGAAACACTATAAAATATAAATAAATATTACAGGACAATATCAGTTTGTAAACCATAAAGGAACAGACTACAAATAACATTGGCCCACCATGCTGACAGCCTCCTGTCTTGTGATGTTTCCAATCTCATTTTCAAGCTTTAAGAACTCATGAAACCTGAGAAATTCATACCATCAGAACCAGGAATTGACAGATAAAAATATTTGCATGGAGAACTTGAGTGATTTGATAGCATCATGGAGAACTTGGTCAAATTGTATACACACTAGCAATTGGAGGAGGATCAACTTGGAAACCACAAAAACTGTTATGGTAGATACGTATTAGTAGTATTCATATACGAACTCCTTCGGGAATACAAGAGCCAATCTCATCCATTAATCTCAAAACTGAAAGAAATACAGGACAGGTGGCATAAAAAACCCATCATACTACCAGCCCATTGAAAAATAGGCTTTTACCGCTCTTATCCGTAACAAGCACCATCAAGAAACAGGTCTTGGGTTACCTTGGTTCCAGGCACATATCTACCACTTATACTACAAAGTCTTCTCAAATAATGCATCATCTACCTCTCAAGTGTTTGGTTCTTCCTCAGCTGCATGCGAGAAAAATTTGAATGCCAAGCAAGATTCTCAGGGTACCAAGGCAATGGCCTAATAGGCACCAGTTCACCCCCCTCGCTTACCTGAACAGTGTAGTTCAAATAATAAACAAGATGCAACAATAAATGCATTACAATAAAAACCAAATGACAACACAATCTGTCGCCGCATTGTAGTAACAAAATAGCCCACAAGAGACCAACCTCAGCTTGAAGAGATATCATAAAGTCATTCTCCAACTGGGTTCGGATGTCCGAACAAAATTGGCTACTGCAACATTAAAGACAAAAACAAAACCTATTATTCAGTCAATGGCTACATCTACAGAAACTCAATTCAGAAATATGATTCACATAGAATTAAGCCGAGCATAAAATACGAAAATGCTAACAAAAACAACATCGCAAAGAAGTTATTTAAATTACCTTGAATTGATTCTAAAAGCAGCAGGCAACGGCTTTCGAAGAACTTCAATGAATCCATCCCACTCTTCTGGGGTCACTATCCCTTGCTCCTAACCACCATCACACACATGCCAAAAAATTAGCGAAGAGCATAACTTTTTTAAGAAAGAAAAGAAATACTGCATCCAATATATGTACGTTTATATAGAAAATGATATCACCTTATAATATTCATCGAATGCGGGATTCTGAGTGGCAAAGGGCTGCCAGCCACGATTTTCGCCATTGTTTTCAGGGTTGTTCTCAGAGGAAGGGTCAGACTTGGGACGCTTCCAGACGTTCTCTCTGTTCTGACGGAAGTGGCGTCTCTGAGTGCGAGAACCTCCTCTGCCTCTGCCGCCACCGCTTCCCATTTGTGTATGTAGCTCAACTGTTTGATGCTTGGCCTCAGAGAACAAACAAGAGAAGAGCTCCGCTGTTCAGTTCGCTAAGCAGTGGGTTTTAGGGGACCGTAATCGGGTCCTTGGGCTCCAGGTTATCTTGGTTTGGGGTTATGAGTTGGGCTTTTTGAGCAGTTGTGAATTTAATTGTGATTTTTTAAGAGTTTAAAAGTCTATTATGTTTTGTATATCTATATAAAGAGTTTAAAAGTTTACGGGTATTCAATTATGATCGTGAGTGGAAAGAGCTTATAAAAGTACATGTGTATTCAATCTGGACTTTGGTGAGTTTTTTAAAAGTCCATAAAAATTCAATTATATTCAATCATAAATTTTTTAAAGTACAAAAATTCATATGCATTTGAAAAGTTCATGATTTTGAAGGAATTTATGAAGTAGTGGATTTTAAGGGTATACTTTAGCCCACAACAAATCCAGCCTTCCCTCACAGATTGGTGGATTTCAGAAAACTCACCCATGTCTCTTCTTAGGTGTGAGTGTGGTGCAGTTTGGTTTGCTTCACCTTGGAACCGACAATCGGCTTTGGGTACTACTACGGGAGCCAAAGCCCAAACAAAGATTGACAACAACGACATATTCTAGCAATCAAATCCTCATGTCATATCAAATGACCCAGCCCAACGTGCACCCATTTGGTAAAGATATTTCTCTCCCATGCAATCATAGCAATACAACCAAACAGAGGAAAAAGTATCAAAACCGCAAAACAACGAAGGATCTATGACCACACAAAGAAAGGTCAAAACAAAACAACTCCGGAAAGAAAAAAGAAAAAAAGAAAACAGTCCCCTTAGGACGAGATACACTTACATGAAATAGGAATGGTACTATTTTACTATTTCTCGCTAACCACAATATGTTAAACTTGATAACTTTTTCACGTAACAGACTGTAATTGACAAAGAATAGCAAAATAGTATTATCCCCGTTTCTTACAAATTTTTCTGTCTTAGGACCCATGAATCATCACTCGAGGTCCCAGCTGTCCACTTGCAGAAGTACTTTGACAGCCTACCCAACCCCATTTCATTCTTGGATATGATTATCCACTACAATGAAGCATTCAATTCAAAGTGCAGAAAATAAAGACCTACTTGCTCATTCTGCATCAATCATTTGCCATATTTGCTAAAAGCTGGTTCTGTTTTTTTGTTCTAAAAGCTGGTTTTTCTTTGAGTCAAGATGAAGAAAAAAAAAAAGGGTTGATAGATTCAGACAAAACCCAAAATTTGCATTATGAATTTGGATACAGAAATGAAAGCATCGTGGGTGTCGTAATTGTTGACGCGCTTACCCACAAAACAACCTATGGACTCTTGACTTGAGGCGGGTCTCTCAGCCAGTTGGCTTATGCTGCCTCCTCTGCTCACAACATAATAACCCTTTAATTTTTTGACACCAGTAAGAGAGAGAAACAAAGAATCCAGACACCCTTTTTTAAAAGGGAATTCATCAAAATCATACATGCATATTGCCAAAAGAGAAAAGGGTAAGAGCCATCTCACACCCATTGTTTTTTTGGACCAATTTATACACACACACCTCTCTGTCTAACTGCCTCAAAATTTCAATGTCTCCTCTGTTTCCACTCATCCTCCTTCACATAACTGTGGCCGCCGCGCAACTCCGGCCCGGCCATTACTTGGAAACGTGCCCGGGAGCCGAATTCGTGGTCCGGGATGTCATGGAGAAGGCTCTGATTAGAGAGCCCCGGAGCCTTGCCTCTGTCATGCGCTTCCAATTCCATGACTGCTTTGTTAATGTAAGTAAACACTATCTTATCCTATCCAAGTAAAATTTTATATTTCCCAATACTTCTTTGTTTTTTTTAATTTATAAATATTTTGCAGAAGCCTTTGTGTTAATGATTTTTGGTTTGTACCTTTGTGTTAATGATTTAACTTGTATACTTATAGGGTTGTGATGCTTCTATGTTACTTGATGATACAACAACCATGCTCGGAGAAAAACTTTCCCTTTCAAATATAAATTCATTGAGATCTTATGAAGTTGTTGATGAAGCCAAGGAAGCCTTGGAGAAGGTCTGCCCTGGAGTTGTTTCATGCGCAGATATCATAATCATGGCCTCCAGAGATGCTGTTGCCCTGGTATTAAACTCTCTTTATCTATACAATATATCACCTTTCAAAACAGAGTGGTAGGACTGCTAGTTTTTAAGTGCTTACACACAATTACTGAAGCCAGTTGATTGACCCAAGTTCATCAAAATGGGATTGCCTGTAGAGAGAGAGAGAGAGAGAGAGAGAGAGAGAGAGAGAGAGAGAGAATAGCAATCTGTCATTAAAGGATGAAAAGGGTAAAACTGTGGAAAGATAATTGATGGGTTATAAACTCTTTTTTATTTTCCCAAATCAAATTCCCACATCACTTGGTCTTGGTTAGAAAGAACAGTTCAGCTTTAGGGGTGAAGTAGGCCAAACTTGAAGAATTGTATGTCAACTGTATCATGCCATGACATTTGTACTTTCTGTTGTAGAAAATTAATGTTACTAAAGAAAAATTGTGAAAGGAGTATAATTATTTTCTTAATCAGACTGGAGGACCCAATTGGGAAGTGAAGCTAGGAAGATTGGATAGCTTAACAGCTAGCCAAGAAGCCTCAGACAACATTATGCCAAGTCCAAGAGCCAATGCAAGCCTCCTCATTGACCTGTTTGGAAAATTTAATCTATCTGTCAAGGACCTCGTTGCCCTTTCTGGGTCACACTCCATTGGCCAGGGTCGGTGCTTTTCCATCATGTTTCGGCTGTACAACCAATCCGGCACAGGCAGGCCAGACCCGGCCTTTGAACCAAAGTTTAGAGAAAAGCTAAACAAGCTTTGCCCGCTAAACGTGGACCAGAATGTGACCGGAGACCTTGATGCTACACCTTTTGTATTTGATAACCAGTACTTCAAGGACTTGGTTGCAGGGAGAGGGTTTCTGAATTCAGATCAAACACTTTTCACATTTCCACAAACAAGGAAATTTGTGAAGCAGTTTAGCATGAACCAAAGCGAATTTTTCGAGGCCTTTGTCCAAGGGATGATAAAAATGGGTGACTTGCAGTTGGAGCAGCCTGGGGAGATAAGAAGAAATTGTAGGGTGGCCAACAGTCGTTCTGTCAACACATTTTGAGAGTCTTGAAGGGATGGGACTTGAACAGATATTAGAAAGAATACACATTGTCCCCTAGCATCAATGTAATTGAGCCTGATTTGTTGCCTTCATCATAATGTGGACGGTTTAATTTGGTTGGAATATATGAAAACAGTATGTATACAGTCAATAGAACTTTTTATTCTCAATAGCAAACAGAACTTTGTTCCATTTTTTAAGTTCCAAAACCACCTCCTCGGAGCCATGAACTCTCACAAAGACAGCTTACTAGTGATATCTTCATATGTAATGTTGGAAGAAGAAATAAAAAGAGAAACAAGCTAATTGCATGTGCAAAAATTTTTGGTTCTATTCATTTTACACAAAAGAAATCACAATTGTGATGGTATGAGCAAAATCAGGAATCAAGATACTAGTTATAGAAGTATCTGAATACATTAAGATGTGCTTTGAAAAGCAAAGGAACTTTTGTGTACTTAATCCGTAAGCTGATCGGTTGCCCTTAGTACTGAGCTTCATGATTTGCGGGTACCAAGTTGGCTATGCACATTCTTTTTGTTGATCTGTGAGTAGAACCTCAAGCAATTGGAGTGCTCTATGAACCTGATGCAGCACACACTAAGCAGAAATGCAGCATACAGTCAGAAAGCACTACATTCAATTTAACCCAAAGAAAATCAACTAAAGATATAAGAGATGGATAGGCTTCCTTATTATTAAATAAAGAAAACAAGAACACGTCATAGAACAATCAAAGAGATCTCAATAAAATAAGTTCAACAAGAAACTATGCACACTTCGAATCCAATTCCCATCATTTGGATTGGTAAGAAAGTTTTTTTTTTTTAACTATACCAAATTCACCCAATGTGCATAATCATGAAACGGATATAGGTAATGATTAAGCCATCTTGGATATATATTTCATCACATCCAATTAACATTATGGTCACATCTTCCCTCGTTCCGTTGAGATTCTCTCAAATATTATGGTCACACTATTAAATATATATTTTTTAATTAAAGAAAGATAAGGGTGTCTTTGTATCCATCTATAGTAAGATAACAAATAATAGAAAAAGGAAATATTGATTTGTAAATCTTGTACTTTTGGCTAAATGATGTTTGAGTTGAATACAATAATCTTTTAAAAGAAGAATCTGCACTCAAAGGAAAGTAAACCGAAAGTGTTTGAAGTCAGATGTGCACAGATGTTGAATGTGTCCCCAACCCCACCACTGGTGATATTGGGGAAGCTTATTACTGTTTTGAAATGGAAAGTCAAGAAGCAGAGACTTTCGAATTTGGCAATGGAGTAAGTTGGGTCCGCGAGCATATCAGTGTTGAATGGACCATTCAAGCGATTATGTGTGTGCCCCATTTGTCCAAAGACAAAAATTTACTTTCAACTTTTGTACCCATTCTTCTTTTCTTTATTATGTGTGCCCCTATTCTTTTTGTAGCTTTTAAGTTTATTGCTTGAGTTGTTTTTCATTGGACTTTGAAACAACACTTTTTGCCTTCTTACTTGAGTATTTTTCTTAGTATGGTTGCCGTAATATTTAGGAGATAAACCCTAAGCAAAGCAAGTGTAGACGGCAAATGTTTGTTAATGAGACTTTAACAATTTAATTTTAAACAAATATGACTGGTCGAATAACGTATAGAAGTGTTTTTAAGTGAATGATGAGATTTACTAGCTATCAGTCTATAATGACTCTTACTAGTTAAAGTTGGAAGATATCTCAAGTTTGAGCCTTCTTTATCTCATTTATGAAAAAGTAAGTGACGGACAATAAGATAAGTTGAAAATTGTGAAAATGACACCGAAATTTCCATATGATGAATGAATCTATGAGTGTTCGCTATCAAGTTGAAGAAAGTTTGCAGTATGCACTTAAGAAGCTTTTTCAATTCAACTGTACCCATTTATCCTTTTCAGTAACCTTTT